TGACAGCTCAGCTGGCTTGTAGTTGTTACATTTTATTCCCTTTTTCTCCTATGTATTGCGGCACAGTAGCGGAGGTGTTTCCCACCTCTAGCTAACGTGTGTAATGTGTGTGTGTGTGTGTGTGCAACGGCGGCCTCCCGACTGACCTTCGTAGCAATCTCTGCATATGTAACTGACGTTCCGGGAGGCTTTGTCTCGACAAGAGGCATTTGATCTTCAGGTATCGAGGGTTGATGTTAGGCCACTTCATCCTTGTTAATGATGCATGTCAGGCTTTGTGGAATTTACCTAACCAGAGGTTTCGAGTGATGCCTGATTTCCGTTGCCATGGGTTCTGTTTGACTCTCGTGTCTACGGCTCGTAGCCTAGAGATAACGATCTTGTCTCGTAATCTTGCAGCGCGGGTTCGAATCTGCCTAGGTGTGGACCTTTTTTGCGGTATACTCAGCCCGCGTGCAACTGTTGGTGTTCGCACGGCAGTGAAACGCCTTTACGGCGTACATCCGATACATTATTATGTATTACGTATCTACGGTCAGTTTCCGCCGGGCGTTCTACCAAAGTTAGGGAAGACGACGGAGACGTGGACTTAGCTGATTGCGGTTCAGCGGTGGCAGATAATGCAGCATTCCGTTGCTTAGAGGGCACTAGGACTCCCTGGTGTACACTTGCTTCCATTGAAGTAATCTTATCGCTCATCCGCCACACGGCTTCTGCGGGTAACCGGTCATATTCCTGAACTAGGATAAGAATACACTTAACGAGTGGGATAGTCGAACACGCAGTATAGAACCAACGCACATCTTGTGGGCTATTTCGCTCTCGTACCTGTTGTTGGGACACGTATGCACATTTCTGATGATACCATTCCAAACAATGCGTGCAAGCCAAACCTATTTTAACTAATCTATGACATCCTCCTAACCTTTGGCTTGGAGCCCTTTTCGGACTCGCATTTCTGCCCTTCAACGTGGTGTCGTTACCTGACGCGGTGGGTTGTTTGATGTTCTGTACTTTTCCAGCTTTGATAGCTGCGAGCATTGTGGCTACAAGGTCAAACGACCGGACGGCATGGTCTTGCGGCCCGTTTGATGGGTTATGCAGGCGCACTGGCCGACAAGGTCACATGGACTGGTGAGTGACCGGAACCTGGTAACTGAATCTGAACACGGCGCTGAACACAGATTGAGAGATCACAAATTCATTCACAGCTGCGTTGGGAAACGCCGGATTGGATTACGCTTAGGCTTTTCGAACTGTTTCGAGAATTCCGTGTCGAATAGTGTCACACAGAAGCGCAATCAGCTCATTGTGGTTGAGTTATCCGCTTGCGCTTATTCACGAGTGACAGTTAATACGCTTAGTGTTGGTAAGGTCTTTGAACCTAAATAATTCCACGTGATGGATCACTGTGTAGGGCTGGTAACTTCGGTTCGAATGAGCGTACGGTCATTACACTGCAAGACGGAGAGAGGATAGCCAGGAATAATCCAAACGACCCAGAAGCATGCGCGTCATGTGTCACATACCCAGGAACGCCGAGCGGCCAACAACATGCACTTTAGTCAACGTCGTTTTTTCTCGCCTCCAAGTTAACCATTTTCCTCTCGCTCCTTACCTCACTCAACGTCTGGTGGAGAAGAATATCATTTGCCGCTCCGAAAGTCAAAATGAAATCTAGGCATTCGTCACAGATCTGCAGTCAATGGACACGATTCAGTTGTGACACACAAGTTTGTGTCGCTATTCTACCATGGTGCATTAGATTGGTTACTTTACTGTCTGTCCACTGCTGTCTGCTTGAGTCAATTCGTTCACCTCGATGTTTTTTCGCCACTGCATCGTCCAAACCCATCCCTACCCGTCTCATCGAAGGTCATGTTAAGCTTCGTTCATACCAAACAGCCCCAATTTTGGATTTTTCATCCAACCAATTACAATTACCTTATGGATGCGGCATCTGATTGTGTTATAAACGTTATTGTTTGGTTTTTACTGTCTTAGTCGGAAGGGACGAACTCCTTAACTCGTTTCACACACGCTGAGTAGCTTAGACAATTCGAATTGGAACGGCTAGTGGACTTGGCTGGCAGAAGTGAATTCGTAACTGAGATGGCAGACGGAACGCGTAAACGCCGCACAACTATATCAAGATCAGTAGGAAGAAGACTGGTCAGTAGTAAGCGTGCTTTTACTGACTCAATCGAGGCAACCTTGCTTTCTACGCCTTCATATTTATAGTTCACTAAAACAGTATTAGTTATATAAACTATACGGGAAGTCATAAGTTTGTTGGCACATGAGTTGCCATGTAGTGGTCCTATCTCCGGGCAGAGATGGAGTGGGTTCGCTGCGGTTGAGATGTTGGGCACATCACAGTTCCTGAGTGTGCTCTGTGGCTAAGGCTTTGGCATGAACACGCGGCTCAGGAGACAGACTGTTGACTTGAGGTGCGTCCGGGAGACACGATAGTGAGATTGGGGTGAGTCCAATGAAAATTGTGCGGGATACGTTGGCCGTGTTCTCACTGAAGACAACTCATTTGTGATCTGTGAACATAAATGGACCCTTGTCGGCTGTTTCCGTAGGGAAAGCTCCGCTCTGAACTGAGTAGCTTGGGTCTCTGCATAGTGACCGTGTTGTTCGGATCCGATAGCGAACTGGGGCCGGTGAACTCCGTTGAGTTTGGCAGGGCTATACCAGTCATGTAGCGGAATGATATTCTACTCACTGGTCCCGCGTCGATTCCGTTCAAGCGATCTATCAACTACCATCACACAGAGCGCACTCGGTGATTACGGATGAATGCAGTTGCTCGATACGGCAACAGAGGTTGATAACCATCCGGCCAATGGAATTTGGCTCACGAGGCATCGACAGACGAGAAAGACCAATATCAAACCGCTTGAACGATGTATCACCAGATGTTTGCATGTGAGCAATTACAGACAGTTTGTTCAGATAATGATTTTTAATGGAAGGTCCACGTTTGTTCTATCCGTTCGATGCTACGAGCTAACATCCTTCTTAATAAGCAACACTCGTCGAACAGCTCAATTCTTGGGCCAATATTTTTTCATCCTTTTCCATATCGTTACCTACCCATCCTTTCGGCTTACTCAACAAGACACGATATGAAAACATTTTATGCAAAGTACTTATCATGTTTTCAACATCTCTTTTTCGTTTTCCTGATGTCATGACACCTTCCGGGGCTGTGTCTCATCACTCAGTCAATTGCGGTCGACTGATTGACATCCCAAGCAATGGGAATGTACTGTGTCACGTTTATCATCATCCGATTATGTCCCACCGCATCATCTGCGCATGCTGTTTATTCGTTCGGCGCTCATACACCGTGGCTGGTCAACCGTTGCATCCCGCGCTTTTCGTGCGCGACCTCGATGTACTCTCACGCTGCGACCTAAAGTCCATGGACAACACGAATAGGCTTTACCAAAACAGCCTTCGTATGCTTTGGACGCTCAGGCGCAGCTTCAGCACTTGGTCCGAAGAGTACCACTCGCCTCTTCGTCTCAGTAATACGACCAATGCTAGAGTATGGCTATCCCGCGTATGGTCCTATCACCCCGAAGCGAGGTAGAAAAGATTGAGCGAGTGCAGCATGTAGCCACCAGGCTGATTCTCAACTTACGAGATGTGCCGTACGAAGACCGGTGTAAGAAACTAAGGCTTATCGTCGAATGCTGGTTGACCTCATCATGACGCACTGGATATTACATCTGGGAGATTACCCCATGTTGAGACCGCTGCTTCATATGCGCACACCAAGTAACACACGAGGACACCGGTACAAGCTTGTCGTACCGGATTTGAAGCGGGTCGCTCACCAACTCTGTTTCGAACGCAGAGTGGTGAATGTATGGAACGGTCTGCCGCAGCACGTAGTTGAGACAAAGTCGGTGTCGGAATTTAAGAAGTTCCTAGACAAACACTTTGCCGACGCAGAACATATTGAGCGCAATACAACATAACGGGTCTTTGTCCCTGAGTGACATTAGATGCAGCTACCCAGAGCAAACTCTACTTGCTGCTTCCAAGCAGTAATCAGTAAAAGTTGGGCCTACTAACTGGCTTGGAGCTCGTACTCGCGACCATCCTCTTGCCAGGCCAGTGACTTTACTCACTGATGGCGGCCCGCGGTAGCGCAGTCGTGTCAAGAATCGTGACAAATAAGAAAAATACGGAAAGTGTTTAACTTCGATTTGTGTATATCCTGGTAGTATATTTCCCGTTTTTATTCATGTTGGCTTCCAAATCGTTCTGCAGCGAGACCCTGCTACAGTAGTGCATTCAGTTGGTTGTCATGTTTGACTCCTAATTGTTCTAAAACAAAGATAGGCTAACGTGAAACTAATCCGTCCGTCTGCGACGAAGAAAACACGTGCGTTTCCGTGGTGCACTTGACTTTGATCACATATAGTTTTTTGGGCTCTTATCGCTTATCGCATCAGTAAACACATGGAGAAAACGCTGTTCTCGTCAACTTGGTGCACTCTCGGCCCAGCTAAATAGTAAACGAACAGGGACTCGCATTCGCTGGAGAGCTTGACGGCATAGCAGTGCTGTAAAGTGGGTGAGCATGGCGCAGCGAGAGAGCCGCGTCAGAAGGGCTCTATTATTGGCTTAACCATTGCGCTCCAGTTGGACAATTGTACCGTGTAAATGAACGTTTCAAAAGGGCGCGTTGTTTCCACTTTAAACGTATCCTCACCTCTTTGCGATTAGAGGAGCTTACTTAAAAACAACTAGGAAATGCTCTCTCGGGGCAGTCTTTTCACCTTACTTACTTGTGCTCCAATAGGTCTGCGTTATCAAAGGCTGTCTTCAAGCTAGGTAAATGTTTGCCCTTCTTTTCAACTTGCCCATTCACTTAAGTCATATCATTGCATGATTGGATGAATGTTCTCGTTTACACCGTTGTTGTGCTAGATCTAAGCTCTCTGTGTAATTCCTTTTATCCTGTTCCCTTAAATCAGTTGGCGGCCACTAAGATCACCGATCCCAGCCGGAGACGATATTCTGGTGCTCATGTCTCAACCTTGACTGCTCGCTCTCCATCACTTGACCAGCTTACTAGTGTCCGTCACCGGATGAGCCAAAGTGAGACGGACCTCGACCGCTCTAGAGATGCACGCGACCACTCCGTGGAGCGCGTCGATCCAACAAGATCCCTCTTCGGTCCAGGTGGCCGGGACGAGATGGATCATTTGACGCATCAGTTTGACCAAACCATTCGAAGCATGGATGGTAAACCGCAACCCGAGCGAACGGCATTCGAACTCGGTCTGATACCAAGTCCTACCACGCACAACATAAAACACACAGAACGCATGCGGAGGAAACAATTGGAGACCGTACTCCGGTTGCAACAGTTGCACCATGCATTATGTCCAGGACAGTCAATCAAAACTTCCTTCATTGTATTTTAACCCCCCCCCCCTCTACCATCTTTCATCCACCCTATCCCCCAGCTCCACGAAGCTCCAATACAACTCATGTTGGTCTTTCGGTTCAGAGTGATCTCGTCAGTTGTCCTTGTGTAAACGCTCCTATTTCCCACCCTCGATCACTCCGATTATGTCCTGTCCTATTTTTTCTGCTCATTTTTCATTCTTTTTTCTTCATCGAGATGCACCGTGCTTATGTTCCACTATGTGTTATCTTTTAGCATGCACGTGAGATGATTGAGTCTCTGCGTTCAAACCAACTACAGCTAACTCTTAGATGATATTGCTTACTAATGGATGCTTGCAAATGAACTCTTGTGGTTAGAGTCAGAGCCAAGCGTCGTTTTCCACTGGTGTCGTTCTCCGATGTAGCTAATTCACCTATGCAGAAAACTAAAATAAGGGACGAGTCTTTGGGATGAGGCTGCGTCCATCAGGGATGTATCCGCCCCACGATTGCTTCCACACACTAACGGTAGTGAGAACACTGACGAGCATTGGCAGGAGTCAGGGTTGTTTTCATAGGCAGGTGGCACTGATTATATACCATGACGAGTAACAGTGGAAACCAATCAGAGCACTACAAGTGCGCAGCCAGACAAAGCCAATAGGGACGGGACAAATAAAGAACCAATCGGATGCGCACAAGAGGAAAGTAAGTGTCAGCGTCCACATGGGAGAGATTCGCAAGCAAGAACAGCGGCTCTCACATGTCAACGGGGTTGACGTCAGTGAATAAGCGTAACGGAATGCGAGTCTGTAGTTAGGAATGCTTGCACAAACACATTTGGATGTTAATCGCTTCTCTTTCACTCACAGAATATCGTGCCGTATGCGACTAAAAGGAGCTCCAACACAAGATCTCCAAGTACGTTTAATTATACATCACCTAACTGTTAAGACTCGATCCTAACAGGAGGTGTTTCGGCACCTAGTCAACAAGTAAGAAGACCGCGTGCGTGCGGAGAACGCTAGACACAGAAACTGATATGAAACTTGTGAAAAGAGAATGGTGGGTGTGTATACGGGCGTAATTGCGTATCTGTGTACAGGACTAATCAGAGTCGAACAAGCGTTAATCACCTATCGTTAGTGATCACCTGAATACCTCATCGCCGTTGTTGGCGTCACGGTCCGGTTTGGAAACGTTGCAATGATTTGCGAATTCGGCTTGACTGCCTAGATACTTCGCCTTCCGCAACTTGCTCTGTACTGGAATAGGCGTCAGGCTGCACAGTGGCGTAGCAACTATTTTTGTCTCCCGGAGCGGTGCTAAAATTTTCGCCCTGGTTGTGGGCAGAATAGACACGTGAAGGCCACACAATTGACTCCGGGTTAATTACACATTAGTTTCCGATGAAATGGAGAATCGTTTGGGACTGAGGAAATGAGGTGAAAGTGACCGGAATGGGACAAGTAGGGGAATGCTGGGACGAACTTGCGTACAGGTGTGACACATGGCGCAGAGGAGTTGTTGGTCATACAGAGTAACATTAAAATATTCAATTTTCGGTTTATACGGATATTCTGCTCTTTATATTTGGTATGGAACAATCGATAGTACTAGAAATGCTGCTATGCCACTGAGCCTGCATGTCACTGCCTAGGGGGTGCACGTGATCCATATGTCGGCGGACGATCTACGCATCCTGCAGAAACGATACTGCTTGTCATCTGCCAACATCAGGCGTGCACTAACCGGGTGTAAAGTCGTTGATCTCCCCTGAATATCACTTCCGCTTTTGACTCGTCTGAGGACAGACTTCTTCTGTCACCACTCCAACACGCTAGTTTGAGAACCACTAGTGAAGCCTCCAGGTAAGATTTCTGCCGAACTTCGATTCCACCGTAGATTTATCGGTGGTGTCAGTGGACATGAGACGGTAGGGTAATAGAAAGTGGTTCAGTTTTGTTTGTTTGGTTTCTGGTCACTGTTTTTTGCAAGTCTTGTTTTCATGTACCTTTAAGTAGGTAATTTTGATGTATTTGATATAGAGTTCGTTGCACTAGCTTCCAAATCAGATAGTCCTTCACACGTCCGGAAAATCACTAGATCGCAGTTCCAACCTGTTGGGTATCATCAGTAGTGCACATCCATCAGGACTCGAACTCATGACAACCAGCGGCTTGCATGCCAGTCAGCAGGGTTATTCCACTGTGCCACGGGGAATAACAGACCATCATGATTTGCAAGCCGACTGCGATATAGCGCGTCTTATCCTCCACTGTCATGCAAGTTATGAACATTGCAGAAGAAAGGGTTGACCCCAAAAGACACGACGTCCACTGACAGTAGCTATGTACGACATGGCATTTAAAAACTGTTAGGGCGGATAAGTTTTGATGTACTCATAATTAGGGGGATTTTGATCTATTTAGCTGAGACTTCCTCATGCCACCTAAATCAAATAGTCGTTCATATGCCCTGAAAAGCACTAGGCTGCAGTTTCAGCCTGCTGGGTATCGTCAGTAGTGCGCATCCATCAGGATTCAAACCCAAGACCACCAGCGACATGTAGCAGCTTATGCCTCTGGGTCACGCGGGACAGCTTCAGACCATCATGATTTGCAAACCAACTGCGATGTAGCGCGTCTTCTTCTCCACTGTCACAAACATTACAGAGGACAGGGTTGGCCCCGAAAGACACAACGTCCACTGACAGTAGCTATGTACGATATAGTATTTAGAAACTGTTAGGGCGGATATATTTTGATGTATTCATAAGTAAATCGACGGTCCGAAGCTGTCCTCCGTTGCCCAGTGACATAAGGTGCTGACTGGCAGAGCAAGCCGGTGGGGCTCTTGTGTTCGAATCCTGTTGGCTGCGCACTGCTGACGATACACACAACGGATCGAAACTGCAGTCTAGTGCTTTTCCTGATATGTGGAGGACTACCTGATTTGGAAACTGGTACGACGAACTCACAATTAACTCTTTACAGTTTAAGTGGCACGTTTCGCCATCCTCTTTAATGTTAAGTGATACAGGGTCGATTTAATGTACTGCATTCCGTTGTTGACAAGTTTGTTAAAGTCAGCACTAATAAGTGGTGAACCATAGTCTGCGCATAAAGTTTCCTGAGTGCTAAAGGTGGCGAATGAGGATTGCATTTTGGTAATGGTGGTTTCATATGTCGCTTTGACAACTGGGTGCACATCAATCCACTTATAATATGCATCAATGGTAGCAAAATACATTGGTTCCTCCATCGGTCCGAAGTATTCACCAAAACTGGGTTGAACCGGGTGTTCTGCTGCGTTAATGTGCCTGAACATTTCGCAACTCCTCAGTACCTTTAGTCTGATGAGATCAATCTTGGGCCACCAAAATTAAACTCTCGCTAATATTTCCTTCTTACCTTAATTGGATGAATGACGTGGAGTACCTTGATACCCTGTGAACGCTCCTTAACAGGAGGGTCCTGCTGATTAGCCCCAGAAAACATAGCTCTCGAGTAGACTCTGCCCGCGCATTATAAACAGCTATGTCAGCTGTTCCTTCAGATGACCAACCCACCGTTGAAAGGCGTTTCAACATTGGTCGCACTGGGTCTCGGCATATCCGTTAACAGATTGTTGTCCTTCGTATCCAATTGTTACATTAAGCAGTTCAGTTATTGACAGACGGCTCAGGGCGGTTGCTGACACTCGCAAGGTGAACCATCTTGTAGCTGTATGCATCCCATCTTTGCATTTTTGGTTATGTCAATTGCTGAATACCTTTTATTTCCCCACTAATGACAGCAAGGGTTTGTGATCCCTATTCAGCTCGAGAAAATTCCTCCAGTAATACTGGCGAAATGTGTTTACCCCGAAAATTAGAGCCAAGATTTTCCTATGCAGTTGCGAGTAGTGTTTCCCCGCTGTTTGTAAAATTCTTGGTGCGTATGCTTTATAAAGAACCATCGTTAATGAGATTGTACTGGACAGCCTCGACTCCCAAGGATGCATGGATTATAGGAATAATAATAACTTATAAAATAACAAATCATTGCCATTAGAAATTGGGTGTTGCCCGCCCGAAAACACTGCTATATTCTCAACCAGGTTTAGTGGGCGCCGGGGTAGTGATCCAAAAGGCAGCTCGAATTGCATGGGGGCTTTTTTATTCTGTGCAGTTAAAGGCTCCCTGTTTACCTAACTATAAAATCACTACACCATTAACGCTGCTAGCTAGGGGGGGGGGAGGACAAAGCACAGCACACAGAACGGTCGCGCGTTCCAATCGAGGCGAGCACCAAGCAAAAGCGATGCTCAACGCAAGCAATCGAACACGACAACCAGTTTGACAATCTGCACCGGTCTGCTTAAATTGCGGCGGGGCTTTCAAATCGGCCATGATGTTTTCGCTGAACTTCGTTTTACAATATTGCTATGGATACATTATTTTTCTCGGAATATTTCAACACAGACTTTTGTCAAACGGTATCCAAGATCACCACCACTCAAGATACCATGCACTTTATGATGAACGGTCCCGTTTGGAAATTTGGTTTGCAATACTGCTCTGTCAACAGATTGCATCCTTAGATTACAGTGTCCGGAAATGTTTAATTATTGCTCCTTTTTACTGACCGTTTATTCAAGGGACACCTTTACACAGTGTCCATTCCATTCACACAAATTTACAAATCACGTAGTCGATAGTGTAACTTGCTGATAATGTACCTATTTGGACACATAAAGCTTATTTTGACTTGACGTGAGTGCACAATGAAATGGCAGTTGACGACACTTTACACAGGCAAACCAATGAAATCTCCAGACTGTTACAGATGTGAGACTTGGCCTGGCAGAGCTGATCCGATCATGAGGAATGGCGGAAATCCCAACAGATATTACGGAACAACTGTAAAAGACCAAATGTAGTTCCTGTTCCATTGATTCTTTCATTAGTAATCTCCTTTCACAAGACTTCGGAATGGACAGTGTTTACGGATCGTTCAAGTGCGTTTCGGCGGTGTTGTAGTAAGGAGAAAAATAACCACGATTAGGTAGGTGAAGAACTAATATGCACATAGAGGGTGTATTTAAAAAAAACTTATAACACGTATATGATAACTATTTTAAAATACAAAATAGCTCGTGAGCAGACAAGATAACACTTTGACGGTTAACCGTTAAGCTCGGAACTGTCTCAGTTGTGAACTATTTAAATCCGCTAGAACGAGCATAGTACCTCACACAGGCGGTGGACCGTGATGACAGAGGTAAAGGAATTATGTATTGGGTTGCCCCATAATTTCTTTCGCATTGCTACACATTTTTAAGTCAGCTGTTATTTATGTAAAGAAATAAATTAATCGATCATATAATCCCCATCATAATCA